TATTGCATTAAATTATATTATCTATTTTATTTTTATTTATTTAAAGAAGAACATTTATAATTAGTAAAAAAAACCTAATTATTCAAATCAAATAACTATTATAGAAAAATTAAACGATTTGCATAGATAATAATAAACAATCATGTTATTCTATTATCAAAAATTAAAGGTTTTTCTAACGTTTTGTGTGTTTTCTAATATATTGCAAGTTAAATATTTAATACTTGTAATTATTTATTATTATCTTATTGATATATCGAAATGAATTTGTCTTCACATACTTCACAAATTATATAATTCCTAAGAAATTATGTGTAACAATATTAATATTGCTCCTAAAGAACATAGTTCTTGAAGAACTAATACAGATTATCTTTTATGGAAGGATGAGTTGGTAGTAAAAATATGACCCCTCTAGATCTATATCACAACATTGGTTCTCCAAAAGGCCTGAAAGTGATAGTCCAATTGAATTAAAATCCATAGTTATATGAACTAGGAAGTACTTGAACTTCTAAGCAAAAAATGCATTATTGGCATATTATATACCAGTCATACTGTTTTTAAAATACATAAATAAAAGAATTATGTTTGTATGACTCACACTTGAAGGTAGGGGCGTTCAAGGCCGGCCCGTCCCGGTCGGCCCGTTCCCCCATCTAATTATACGTTAAAAATCAAAATATTAGTACTTGATGTGGGAAAAGCTTTTCCTATGAATGGATTATTGATTTTTGTTATGAATCCTAACTAGGGAGTGGGACGGGATGAGGTCGTCCCGTCCCGGTTCTTTTTTTTTTATTTTTTTTAATTTTTATCCTATTTATATAATATTATTTTTTTCATATTTTTTTAAGATTTGATATTATTGTATGGAACTATGGATATATTTATTTCGAGTTTTTATATTTGTTAATGATTTGAGATTATTGATTATTAGAATTTTTAGCAAGTTTTTATTGTATTAAAAGCTTTTGTTTAGAGTTTTTAATGATTATTATATGTAATATTTTGAACTTTTGTTTAAGAGTGCCCAAACAAATAAAAAAGAAAATAAAAAGATATTTTTATAAGGTTTAAGCCCAAAAAAATATAATTAAAAAAATCAAATTTTATTAAAAAAATTAAAAAATTTAAAAAAAAAAGTTCAGGACGTCCCGATCCCGTCCCAGATCCGTCCCGTCTGATCGGGACAACCCCAGGACGGGCTAGGACACGAGACAGAAAATCTGTCCCATTACTGTTCATCGGGATGGAACCGGGACAGGCCTGTCCTGGTCCCGATCCGTCCCGTGAATAGCCCTACTTGAAGGGGAGATTGTTTAAAGGAAAAATCCAAAAAAAAATGATTATTGAATTTCAAAATTCTAAATAAGAAATTACTATAAAAATGTGTTGCCATTTTTATAGTAATTTTTTTTACGGGTGTAGTAACTAATACTGATTTAAAATTTTAAAATTCAACAATCATTTTTTTGGGATTTTTCGTTGTTTAAATACAAGTGTAAGTGTATGTTGGATAAAGTCCTTCTCGTACTTTGCCACACAATTTAATTAATCTCACAAATGGATATCATATAAAATCAATCATATGTTATAGAAATTGAAATGTTTACTATTGGTTAGGAAACATGGTACACTAAATTAGAATTGGCACGAATTGCTTGATCATCCTGAATATATATATATATATATATATGATGCAACAAATTATTAAGCATTATGTATTGATATCCATTATGAAGAACTAGAAGATTCTTAATGAATAGCCAACATATTATACAGTTTCAAAATTCTTATATTCTTCTTGTTCTTAGAAAAAAATTAAGAGAATATCATTAGTTATGATTTGATATGGATCTCTCCATTTTTGAAAATACATCAAACTCACACATATGGGCTCATTTAGATAGCACGTAAGCCATATAAGTATTTGATAAATGTATTTATAAGAAAAAAACATGTGTGATTGATATTAGTTTGCAACCTGAAGTTTGTAAGATTGTTTACATAAACCATTATGCTAGGTTTTTAGACAATGTGATTCTTAAAATTTGATCTTAAAGATGCCAGTGAACTTACGTATTAGGCTCCCAATGATTATCATATGCTTAATAGAAAAACAGTTGAAAAAACTACTAAAGAAAATGATTTAGCAAGATCATTTGTTAATACCTCTATGATTAGCTGGATCAACATTTTATGAGAACAAGTTTTTCATTTTATTGTTGGCATATTTAATTTGATATATTGCAGCACTTATCAAGCTAGAAGAAACCTCTTAATAAAATTGGCTTTTGGTTAGAAGCTATATGTTTGCCATCAAGAGTTTAAATGTGCAATGTTTATTCCCATTAATCCACCACAATGTACATAGATAGATATTTAAAGAAAGTTAGGATAAATGTTAGGTAAGAACCTCCTTTTTCTTCTTTGTCTCTAAATGGAACAACGTGATGTTTCTAAAGAAATTAAATGAATTTAAGAGACTTATTTCAACAAAGTTCTCTCAACATAAGGGGAAAAAATTGAGTAGCCAAAAAAGAGAATGAATAGAATGCATTATTACTATCAAATATAGATCCTCAAATATATTAGTATAGACTAGAAGTTCATCAAACATTGTATTCACGAAATATTACAAAATATCTACCAAATGTAATTACTAACCTTAATGAGAATTTCTATATGTCTTATTCCAACTTACAATGCTCTGTTAGCATAAAACAAGTGAGACATGCTCGAAGTATGAGAAGTTAATCGGTTCTAATATGAATATCCTGGATAAAAAGGAGTATAAAATTTAGAAGTCATATTGTGAAGGCATTCACTCCAGAAGAGTGCAAGACATAACTAATTGCAAAACTCCAAAAGAGGTTCAAGTACTTGAAAAGTAAGAAAAGAATCTCAATAAGTTATGTTACAAGAAAAAAAATAGAACTAATAAGATAAAATTGTTGACAACTATTTTGATAATAATAGCAAATAGAAAATCAACCAAAAGGTAAAGTAAAAGAAAAAAGATGTAATGAAAATATGATTATATTCTTTCAAATGTCAAAATTATGGACTTGCCATCCAAACACATGAAATATAAAGTTTTATGGAATATATGAATGTTTATGTGAAAATCAATATAAGGTTATGATGAGACATATTATTTTGTGGTGGATGTAATTATTTGTGCATATATAATCTAGTAGTATATGAAAAACAAGATATGCATGAGTTAGATATTGTTATAGCTTATCCATAAGGCTTATTAGATAGTAAGATTTACATGATAATTATTGAAGGATCCAAAATATGCCAGAAAAACTTACAAGAAAATTTATGTTATGAAGATTAAAATAATCTAAGTATATACCATCCAGTTTATAGTTTTGGATCAAAATATCAGAAATTTTATGAAGGATTCAAGTTATCAGAAGCATACAATTTAAGTTCTCGAGAACAATATTTAATAAATATCAATGAAACTCTTGAAAAGCTTGCAAAAACTATGAATTGACTCCTGAAGAGCTCATAAAACTATGAATTGCTTACGCAAAGAATTTGAAATGAAGGACTCGGTAAGAACAAAATTTTTTCTTGGATTGCAAATTAAATACTTAAGAAATAAAATTTTTCTGTATCAAATTTTTCTGTATCAAGTAATTGACACAAGAAAGATTTTAAAATGTTTTTATATAGATAAATCATATCTATTATGTACTTTAGTAGTTGTACAATCTTTGGAGGTAAATATGAAGAACTACTTGGTCCAGAAGTACTATATCTTTGTGCAATTGGTGCACTTTTGTGTCTTGCTAGCTATACATAACCCAATATATCATTTGTGATTAACTTACTGGTAAAATATAATTCTTCCCCAATACAAACACATTGGAATAGATTTAAATACATTCTTTGTTAGCATAAAGGTACTATAAACATGAGACTATTTTATCTAAATATATCCAAGACTAATCTTGTTGGCTATGTGGATCATAGATTCCTATTTGATCCACATGTCGATAATCCCAAACAGAGTATTTGTTTCATAATATTCAAAAGATGGTGAAATTAATATCTAGCAGATCCATTTCAAATCAAAATCTAGCCGATTGGTTTACCAAGTCACTTCCAGCTATAATATTTGAAAAGCTTGTTCATGAGATTAAATGTTGAAAACTCAAGGATATCAATTGATGTCACCAAAAAAGGGAGTTAATACAAGTTGTACTTTTTACTCCTTGTTTATGGTTTTTTCCATTGGGTTTTCTTGACAAGGTTTTTAATCAGGCAATACTGGATAATATATCAATGAATATGTACTTTTTTTCTTCTACTGGATTTTTGTTGCACTGGTTTTTTCCTCGTTGAATTTTTGTAATGAGGCATATTCTTGCATAATGGACATCTATCTACTCTTCTTTTCTACTTCATTACTCCTTATGCATATTCTTGCATAAGGGGGAGTGTTATGAATATTAAAAGTGTGGATATCCATCTACTCTTCTTTTCTACTTCATGTACTCCCACTATTTCTATTGGGCATTACTCCTCTATTACTCCATTACTCATTCACTATGCCTTTAATCTTGTAGCTTACCTCTACTCACATTTATATAATTTATTGTTCACTATCTATCATTTAAGTGCAAGTATAACCTATTTGTAACACTGTTTATAATAAAACAAGTGAAGAAATACAATATACCCGTGTCATTTTTCTTAATTTCATTTCTTGTCCACTTTTGTTGATAACAAAAACTTAATTATTCTAACCTGACAGTTCCAATGGGTTTTTTTTTATTTGTTAATTACATTAATAATAATAATAATGATGATGATGATGATAATAATAGCTTCAGCGTTAAATATTTTCAAAGTGCAAATTAACGTGTTAATTGAAGTAAAATCAACTTCAAATAAAACATCAAATTAGCATCTTATTTTAAGGTCAGTGAGAGATCAAAAATTAACATCAAGGTCACGGCGCCAATCTAGCAAGCCAATTAACAAATTCGTGCAGCAAATATCCTTATGCAATAGTCAATCCACCCACCACTTGGCACTTACACGCATTAAGCACAAACGCAAACTACATGGGTGTAACATGTAAACTGCCTGACCTTTTTTAATAGAGCTCTATAATATAAGAGTACCTTACAGATCACATGGTGTAATGGATTCATCAGGTTCGACCATGGAATCATCATTCTGATACTCTAATACTGTTACATGAATAGTTAACGTCCTATATGAAACATATTCACATTAAGAAACAAACAATTAATGACTAGTGAACACAACTTCAAATAATATTTTCTGCCGCAACCCAAGAGTCCTTCATGCAAAAGACAACTCACAAGATCTTGTGGTCTTATTCCGTTAAAAAAGATCAAGAAACAAAAAAAGGAGGAAAGCCTAAGGCAAGAAAAGTCGTCCCCGAGTGAGTGGATCAGCAGTTCTGGTGTTCAGGGAATAGCAAAAACTTGTTATTAGTCTGAGTCAGCATCTTCTAGACTTCGCCTTTTCTTTTTTTCCCTTCACCGTGTCTGGATCTCCGAGGTGCCTCATCCTCACTTTCACTCTCTTCATTTCTCAGGTTGTTTCCGACAGCATACTGATCCTCCTGGGATGCGTTGAATCCTTGCTGATATTGCATGTCATCATCGGGTCCACCTGCCTGACCCATCATGTCTGGACCCTTTCCCTGCTCTGGCCCTGAACCATATCTATCATTCCGATCATTAGTTCTTTGATCTCTCCTAGTAAGACGGTTGGTGTTCTGATGTTGCGGGGGTGGCATGAACATTGGAGGCATACCGCCTGGTCTACCTGCCCGTGGTGGATTTCCACCTGCAGCCCCCATTCCACCCATAAAGGGAGCACGTGAAGGATTCATCATCATCCCAAACCCACCACCTGGAAACATCCCAGGTTGTGAGGGTCGCCCGCGAAACATCATTGCTGCTGGGGGCCCTGCAAAATCATTAGAGAACCTAGGACCATAGGGACCAAAACCACGAGGGCCCATACCAAATAGATCTGGCATACCAAATCCATCGGGAGTAACTGGTCCATAGGATAATCCATCTCCCATCATTACTGGAGGAAAACCCTGCATTCCTGGAATAGGCCGGGCCCCACGGCCCATAGGCATGTGAGGAGGCCACATCATACCTCTGCCCCTACCTCGACCTTGAGCAGCTGGCCCAACGCCTGGACCAAAGCTCTCCTCCTCTTCATCGCTTTCCTCCTCTTCTTCCTCTTCATTGTCCTCAAATGGAACAATATCTGGATTTTCTCCTCCATTTTCTGGATTCACTCCCTTTGCTTTCTCTTCCTCTCTCTTAGACTCTGCCGCAAGTGAGACAGCCTGCACCCGAGAATGGAGAGCCAGGATTAACCCCTTCCAAAGAAAATGGAAGTGTAATATGGGATACTTGTTTGAAAGTTGAATTATCTCGTTTTGTAGTATATTATCTAGAAGTCAGGTCTTAGATTCTATACATAATGTTAGTACTGCAGTGACTTCCTCATGAATTTACGCCAATTGGACCATGGCCAATTAAGGTTTATTGAAGAAAGAATAAAAAGTATTCATCAGAAAAAGGGGGGACCAGTAAGAGATTCCATGGTAGGTGTTCCATAGCATGCAATGGAAAGGTGTTAGATGGAAAGAGAGAAAGATTAGAGGGTTTATATGGAGAGGCAGGTTGATGGAGTGAGACAGTAAAAGTTTAGTCCACACTCTGGAGAATCTTGCCTCGAGTGGCAGTGCAAAACTTTGCTTCTTTTTTCGTCTTTTTATCATTTTACTGGCTTGCCCATATTGTACTTCTGTTTGAATCCACTCAATCTATGATTTTGTGGGTGGTTTCATGATTGGTTAAACTGGCTGCCTAATGAGAATTCGAAGGAAATCCATCAATCTGGTATCAATCAATTTATCAAACCACGACAATGATAGCACAGTTAAACCCCTCCCCTTTTTCATTGCACAACATCTGTCCTTTCCCCTTCTAGCCAACTGATCTCCCCCGACCCAAACCACACACACAAAAAAAAAAAAAGACGACCAAGATGAAGACCAAAAAGAAAGCATACCATAAGTTCACTATCTGGCTCAAGATAAAGCAAGGATGCCAACTGCTCACCAATAGAAGGCTCCAGTTCTTGGCAATCTCTGCTTATCTGCAATTACATTAATTAACAGAAGCGTTAATGCTCCAATATGATTGTAACCTAACTACATGAAGCATCATATTAATCAAGCAGCAAACCGTAACTTAGCAGATAAAAATAATGAATAAAAAAAGATAAATCATCATTAAATACATGCAAAATATCTATTATGGTTATAAATATAGTTGGCTTTTATAGGGGTATTCCCCAACACTATATATGGTTCTGTCCTATACCATCTTTACATATGAATAAGAGTTGAGAAACTTCAATATAAACTGATCAATTAATGAATACCGCCATTCTTCTCCTCAAAAAGAGAAAAAAGAAAGAGAGAGAGGATAATCATTCTGGCAGTTGAGGTATGTAAAGATAAAGCGTACATAGTTTACATTATTTAAGCTCTTACCAAATTATGGATTTGGAGCTTTGCACAAAATCTATGGTCCTTTGATGTTTATACCTTATAGCATATGAATAGAGCGAATGTGTATAGATTTTACATTGATATATTTGATCATTGATGGGACTTGGATAATACTCTTCTGTATTTCTATTAGAATATTCGAAGAAAAGGAGACAACTGCCCAATAGGGATAACAACAGCAATGAAACAGTGAAATATGAAGAAAATGACAATGGCTGTCTAGCTGAAAATAGAAATAACAAGATAGGTCCCTCCTGACGTTAGAGAGGTCAGAGCTCTCCCAAAGCTTCCCACATCCTTGTCTGTCTCTCCCTTCTCACACGCAACCTTAGAAAACTAACTCAGGGCCATTGGGCTGGGTGTGTGATGGCCTTGGGCCCACAGTAGTCGGTAGGTTCTGTTTGGGCTTCCTTCTATTATACACCACAGCAGTCTTAGGGTTGGCCTCATCAATCATTATAATAATATTCATCCTGTATAGTGCATATGATAGAGTCCAAACAACCAAATATGAAATTGACAGAAAGTAAATATAGAGAAGATATCTAAGCAAACGTTTACTGCTGATATTCAAAATACACTCCTCTTTAGGGAGAAGGAAGAGAACTACAGCAGAAACAAGCTCTCACATAATGGAAATAAGCTACTGGAGATGAAAGGAATACACACATACTCATAAACAAAACACACTGAAACATAATAGAAGATGATGAAGTAATGATCCTTGCTCCCACCCCAACTAGGTGCTCAAGAGACCAGGCACTCTCCCTCACAAAAACACAATCTGACTGCGTCCTAGCAAACCTCCAAAGTCCTTTGATAAACCTCTCCAATCCCACAAACACAATCTCTCTCATCCAGCTCTATACACTCATGGCCCAAGTGACACTCACGGCACTCAACTCTCTTTTTCTTCCCTTTGGCCAGCTAATTATACTCTCCTTTTGTCTTTATTCTCTTGCCGTATGTTGTACGATTGACAAGAAAAGAAGAGAATAGGAAGGGGATAGGGAAAACACAGAGAAAGAGAGGATTCAAAGGAATTAGAGAGAGTTTCAGAGAAGAAGGAATCAGAGAGACAAGAGAGAATGATCCGAATACTCTAGGGGTTTCTCAATAACATGCAAGACTGAATACATCAACAATTAGGATCCTATTTATAATCATAGGTCCCTTAACTAACTTTCCCTCACCACTACTTATCCAACTAACCCTCTTTTTAATATATATTATGGTTACATAACACCATAGCCCTCTAACTAGGCCCAACAGCTACAAGTTCATTAGTATATTCAGTGTGTTGTTATTAAGGAATGTGAATTAAGTACCAGAGTCATGCAGACACGTTGCAGCATTATATATCGAGCGTAGTAACTAACCCTACCTATATATGTTGTTCAAATACAGATCATTTCACTGAACGCTTTATTCTCGAAATCTTACTCTATTTCTACATTTCTACAAACATGAAAACTATAAATTGCTATATCTTCCATTCAGCAAAACTAAGTCAGGCACATTTGAAACAGCTTGTTCTTGGTGTGGTTATCAATGAATTAATCACTTTCCCAATAATTCGAAAGCAACAAGGACATAAGCTGAAAAACTTAATGCATGAGCCTAATGTCTTCAATCCAAAAAAGCCTTCACAATGCATAACCAGAAATCAACGTTGTCTTATCATTGAAACGACTAATTGAATATGCCCAAAGGATGACTCTGTCCCGTCCTCCAGTCACATCAACTCTGAATTGTTGAGATGCCAAACAGTTCACTGCTCTCAATAGTCAAAAGTGACTTTGGGACTTCTCACAATAGAAGTAAAGGATAGCTAAGGCCCCTAACAATAGTCAACTCCGGGCTTTTCAATAGGAAACCCAAGAAGGAAATAACAATTTTATAAAGATTACTCTCATGTAAATCTGAAGAGCAATCTAGAGGGGGTAACATGAGAAATCAAGAAAAAATGGAGCAGACAAATCTTGAAAAGATAATATTAGATCATAAAACTGGAAAAAATAATACCTTTACTGGTAAGTTCTCATTGTATGGATTCCTTAAATGGCGAGTCTTGTGAAATGACAATTCACATAACTGCAGACAAGAAAGTGCAATTAGACAGATCATTTGAGCTGAGATTTCAATACATGATTAGGCAGTTTCAACACTACTTCCTGAGCAAACTTCGACAGCATTTTAAAAGTTCTTCAACCTAAGTTGCCCTCTACCTAACACTTAGGCAAATACAAAAAGGAATCATTAATTATAAGTTTTGAAAAAAAAAATTGTAAGAAAACATTTAATATAAATTTAAATATCATTTAGTTAGAAAATTGTTCACACTCCATTAGTTACCTAAGATTCTCATTTCAATGAATAGAAATTCCAAGAAAAAGAACACATTAAATTCCTTCAAAATAACCAACTAAATATCTAAACAAAGTTAACACAATTATGCCTATAAATGGGAAAGTACATTAATCCCACGAGGACATTTCTAAAATGTTAACTCTTTTTTCGAAGTGAATTGTCTCATTAAAAAACCCTCTAGTTTCCAAAAGAGACATATATGAGCCACATAAGACAATGCCAAAAAGTAAGGGCTGAAGGAATTAGACAAAATCAGGACATAGATCAAAGTTTAAGGTGCAAATTTGCCCCCGATATTTTTACTTAGAAGTGCTAGGTATTTAGAGGATGTATTGGGTTTAATGCCACCTCAAAAGTTTTAATCGTAATAATGTTACCTCCTACCATTAAAAACATCAATATTTTTAAACTAACGATACGAGAAAACATTGCTACAATTTTAAACTTCTGAGGCGATATTGAACCCTAAAAAACCTCTGCATCCCCAGTGATCATGAGTGATAAAATCTAGGGCAAATTTGCATCTCAAACCATAAATCAATTGGAAAATCCATGATTAAACCAATAGATATCCCTTGGTAAAATAAAGCGCCATGGGATTGAAATGGGGGTTCAAACAATGTAGTATTATTGGACCTAGTTTGCACTCAATACTTTGCCAACATTCCCTCTCAAGTTAGGGCACATGTTGATCACTCCCAACTATTTAGCAATTTGAATTTCTCTCTTTAAGAGTGCCTTGGTCATAAAACTTGCAGCTTAGAGCTTAAGGATACATAATCTAAATTAACAATGCCTGAATCGATCCTCTCTTTCATTAAGTGACTATCAACTTTCATATGCTTAGTGATATCATGATGTATTGGATATCCTATCATTCCAACGGTGTCCATATTAGCCTTTGTATCTACATTCCCTCACAAATTCCTAGAGCCAATGCTCTATATTCAACCTTTGCAGTACTCCTAGGCACCACAAGCTACTTCTTGATGCTCCATATGACTAGACTACTCGGGACAAAGGTATAATACTTGGCAGTAGATCTCCTATTAGTGATTGATCCAACCTAGTCTATATATATATATATATACTTCTACATTTCTATCATGTCCTTTTACAAAACACAATTTTTCCAAGCGTCATATTCAAGTACCATAGAATTCTATAAACCACTTCCATATGCTCTTCTTGCCATTTCCTTGTAGACTAGCTCATATCATGCTCTTTAGAAAGCATATCAATTGCCCTACAAGTCCCTAATATCTTCCTATCTCCACCATGTTTCCAATTGGTTTTATATCAAGCTTACAAGGAGTTTCCATAGGTGTTATTGCATCCAGCATCCGTGTTTCCTTCAACAAGCATAATGTGTACTTACATTGTGATTCACTGATTCCCTTGATCGATCTAGCAATTTCCACAGCTAGAAAACATCTTCAACATGTTTCCAATTTATATCCAACAGTGTTCAATTTAGCCACAAGGGCAATCGTTTCCAAATAATCTATGGCATGAGTCTTGGTGAATTCTTTTACAACTAATCTTGCCTTGAAGTTGCTCACATTGCCATCTGGATTTTATCTAATTTTATGTACCCACTTACACCTAGCTATAAATTTTCCATTAGCAAATAAATGATTTTCCTAGGATGGTTCTTCTCCAAAGGGTGAGCTCTTCATTAATGGCCTCCATCCAATTTACATATTAAATTGCCTCCTAAGAAGTTTCAAACTGCTTCTCATTGGATGCATCAACATTAGTCTGCAGGCATGGGGACGAAGTTTTTCATAAGAAACATACTGATAGGATGTTTTGTACAAGCTCTTACCACTTTCCTTAAGGCAATGGACCACCCTAGATCTTCAAACATTGGATCCGAATATCTTGGTCTTCTTCAAGAATGGTTGGACTTCCACCTCTGCAGACTATTGCTTGGCCTCTTTATTCCTTCTAGAGTACACCTGCAACACTTTGATCTTAGGTTTGTCCACCATAGTCTTAGTTACACTATCATTTTCAAGTCTTGATAGAGGCTAAGCGTTGCTGTCATGAACAGCATCAGGGTTGTTTAGGGTAGAATGATATCTATCACACGTATTGGGGCTGTTCATAGTATCATTTTCAATCAGATCAGTGGGTTGAAAGTAGTTTGAGGCCTGATATAGGGCTGAACAGGTTGTGCCACGCGATCACAATTCAAATATACCATGACTAAAAATCACACATTCATCTGTCTTATTCTTCCCTGAATGGGTTATATGGGTTACATACACCTCACATGCGTTAGAACAATAGCACGTATGATCCTTCTTAGACGGTGAGTACCTAAGGAATCAATTTTATTGATCATGTGTCCAATTTACCACCTTCATTATTATGAACAAGCATAATGCACCCAAAAAACCCTTTGAGGTATAGTAGATATGAGAGAAAGAGAGAGGAAAGGCTTCAAAGAGTTTTGCAAAGGAGTCTCTTGGGGTTTCTAAGGCATCATACTTATCAGGACAGCTGCAACCAGACCTCCGTCTTCCTAGTTGGTTGAAACATTATTGGTGACAGAATAAACTTTTGAACTTACAGGCACCTATTTTCCACTCAATTACACTGTTTTGTTGTGGTGTATTTAGACAAGAGTTTTGGTGATGAATTCCATAATCCTTAAGATATCGGGCATGTTTGGCTATTTGGCACACATCACATTGAAAAGAAGAGTTTTTTATGGATAATTTTAGGGTGCATGTAACTGAAACTAGGGTTGCCCAAACTATAGTGCCATGACGTAACCTCTTTATTTGTAGAAACAGGGAGGAAAAACAATTCTTCCTTTCCTTTGGCCTAAAACCTTTTGGGTAGAAGCGTCAATCCCATTCACTAGCATTATCAATCCTCCTCCCCAAAGCCAAGTCCGGTAACTCACAACCAACAACAGTAAAGTTAACAATACAGCCTTGACCCTTTGACATCTTGCAAAAAGATACCAGGCCACACTTAATTCTCGGAACATACAAAACATCTCTTAGTTCCAAAGCATCAGATATTACTGTTGTGCCAGAATCATCCACCATTGCAAATGTTATATTCACAATTTTTACATTAAGGCCTTCATTACAAGGCTGAAGAAACTTAAAACAAGTTCTTGTTACCAGGCATATGATCATTGGCACCCTAATCAATTATTCAAGTGTTACCAATCAGCACCTAAGTGTGAAAGTCCAGTGAATGAATTACCTAATGGACCCAAGTTTCCACATGTAGAGAAGGTCCTCTCTTTCCTTGGAGGATGATACCCATGTTTCTCTGATCACATCATCAGTGCTTCTAGCTCCTTTCTACTATGTCTACCATGCTCAAGTTCTCCCTCCTCATCACTTGTCACTATATAGAATTTACATTCTGATTTTGACCCCTGCTAGGTGTTTGGTGGCTTATCATGAAGCATCCAACGAGATTTCTCAAAAATGACCATTCTTAATGTAATGGCCACATTTACAATGTTTCTTCTCCTTATGGTGTGAGGACTATGCTCCCTTGCCACAAGTGTTGAGACTTCATGAGTTGTTTAGTGTTTGCATCAGAGTCTGAATAGACACCTTTTTACTCTCCTCCCACTTGACAATGTTAAGCGCATTTTGCAGAGATGGAAGAGGATTCATGCCCATAACACTCCACTTCTTCATAAGTGTCATTAAATCTGGGGGGAAAAAAAAAGTTCATAGGTCATTGCGCCCACTATAGAATTGAGTGACAGTCACATCACCTGGTCTCAATTCCCAGTGCCTTCTTAACTTGAACAACGTTGTATTTTCCACTTATGAACACATCTTTTCAGCTGAGTCCCATATCTCCATTGTAATAGTTGGAAACAAATAACACTCATGTACTTTGAGCCATAGAATGCAATCGACGGGACATCACCATATTCTCCCCCATCCTGTTTCATACCAAAACTCATCTTCCTTTGGTATTGAAGACTCTCCAATGAGATATTTCTCAATCTTCTTCCTTCCAATGAACATTAACTCAAACTGAAACCATTGTAGATAGTCATTCCCCCTGAGCTTATAGCAGATCATTAAACAGTTTTATGTATTTGATGTCGTCTGTGACTTGACAATACTCAAACTGGATTGTTTTTATGGGATCCCTATCACTAGCAACAAAGAAGCTCAAGATTGATGTTTTTGCTCTATTTTCACCAGGCACTACAGTCTAACCTTCCTTGGCAGCTTTGATTTGACACATTTTCAGCAGCACGTAGGACTCAAATAGATGGAAGGGCTACTCTATGGAAAAAACATCCCCTCTATCTACAACCAAGGAGCTTATCCTAGTCACACGTTCTCAAGAGACTTTTCTCTTCAGGTCAATATTTTATAAGAAATGTTAAAAAGAATATTATGCCTTGAAGGTAAGTTGATTAAAGCAAAAGGACTACGTAAGTTTAAATTGCTGGAAACAATCAAGTCAAGCCAAGCTTTTAGGAGGCTTAAATATCTGAATTTTATTTTCTACAAGTTCAATTGTTTTTTCACGGGCTACCTCCCAGTTTCCCTCCTCCATTTTAGAAGCAAACAGATTTTGAAAAGAAATAAACATTCCTGCTACGTAGTAGGAATAGATATATATATATATATATATATATCTACGCGCACATACATATGAAAACAATAAAGCCCTTCAGTTCATCAGCATATTCATCAAAGAAACATTTCCAAGAAAGAAATGGCACTGCCGATTTCCTCCTTTGTAACTGTACATCACCCCCCCCCCCCAAAAAAAAGAAAGAAGAAGAAGAAGAAGAAGAAAACTAAAGAGCCCAATAACGAAGGATTGCATAGATGCAAAAATAACAATAGCGCCGCAAAAAATAGAGGTTAAGCTTCAGCTTTACAAATCCTCAAATTTCACTTGACCATCATGGCACTACTGCACAAACTATTATATCCAAAAACATTCATTAAGAGGTTCTGAAAGTTATATAAGCAACTGTTCCTAATTGAAAAACAAATTGACTGTCTTGAGTAGTCCAAGCTGCAGAGTAGTTTGGCCCAAAAATGGCATTATTTGAAAGCTTCTCCAACACAATAATTTCTAGTTTTAGTTTCCCATTTGCTCCGTGAGAACCCCATTAGGTATAATTAGCGGTGCTCACCTCCACCTTTTGGCATAAAGCTACCAATCAGAAAAGTCATTCATTTAAGTTTGTAAAAGAGAGATTTCAAACCTTTAGCCATTTAACTGAGAAGTTACGTCCATAATGTGCAGTTCCATGTGCATATTTCCAATTACCCCCAGTAGCCGAGCCCCCAATTCTGGATGTCATTTTTGCACAACCCTGTAAAAAATCCAGATTACTTCTGGTTAACTTTATAAGCCACTACCATTTGAAAACAGAAAAAGTTAGGTTAGGTTTCTGGTTCAGCTTCCTAAAAGAATAGATGCTATATAGCCAATTAATAATGTTAAAATGAGAAGTAATGATTCCCAACATATGTCTTCGGAAGAAACCACAAGTTAGTTACCACTCAAAGTAATAATCGCAGGATATGCTAAATCATAAAACTGCTAAAGATGGATACAACAGGACAAAGTCAAGTGGGATGCCGCAACTTTTTGAACTCACCTGAAAATGTCGAGTTCTGTTGACAGAGAAAATCAATATCACATTCTCCACCAAGTCAAAGGCTTCATTCAATTTAGCCTCATTGCTCCTTTGAGTTGCCCATACTCCTTGTTGAACAGATAGCTCCAAATTTTCACGATTGCAACTTTTAACAATAAAATACCTAAGATTTTGGTTGGAAGTACTTTAGTGAAATTCATTTTAAGTGAAAAAACAGTCTTCAACTAAAGATATACTTTCTTAGTTTACTATTTACAAGCTGCACATAACCCTTCTTGAAAACATGACCTTACTTTCAATTTTGGGTCCTGTACATAATCATCAGAGTCATTGTAGATATTGCAGATAATGCTAGTTGAAATTCTAGTCACAAAGGATCATGATGCAATAGCATAATTTGACATTGATATTAACAGAGGACAATATGATAGGAATTAAAATTTTAAGTGAATAAAATATATTAATTTCAAGAGAACTTAATTGCAACGTTGGAAATTGGGATTCAATCCAGTCCCAACTCATTCTTTTACCCTATTCATTTGTTTTCCTAGTTATTTTTTCTTTATTGTTGGTTTCGGTCAAGCGTATGTAACTTCTCGTCAACTATCATCTCTTTTAGAGAATCGGATTTCTAGATTATAACAGATTACATGTTCTTTCAAAAAATGTAGCCTAGCCTTTTCAGAATGATAAGAAAAACAGAGGTGACAGAATTAGTGTGTTTGCCACATTGTTTTCCATTCAAATTTGTTTGGTATAGTGTGTGTGTATATAAATATATACTTCCTTCCCACTTCAACAGTACAACTTCTTTTTACTATGTTTAAGGATAATTTATTTGTACTGGGGACTGCAAGTAATACCTTGACAATAGTAAGCCCGTCATGGGGCTACAATGGAAAACTATGTATCTTGTTTGGCAAGCATCTTATCTCAAGGCAAGGAGAGGTAAAGGAAGCCAGCAAGCAGCAGCCAATGCTTGACTATTACTAGAATTTTCTCAAGCTTGCACGCCAAAATTAAACTATATCAAGTTCATAATGAGAATATAAGAAGCCTAATGAATCAGCTGAAGCAGAATCCAGATCAATATCTCAAGCACTATTGGCTAAATCAGACCTTGAAAAAGAAGGGAGGTTAGTGGTAGAAGCCAGCACTTAGTCACAAAGTATATTGATAGGAGACTTTCCCAATAGCCCAACAGGTAGGCGCTCAGGGGTAACTTCTACATCCAAAAGGCTGGCAGCAATTTTCTATTGGAAGGGTATGGAGAAAGATATGAGGAATTAACCTGAACTGTCAAAGTCACTACCTATTCCGAGCATAATATGTATGGATTAGGCAATAGATTACATTGAAAACTTTTCAAATCTTTTTAATAAGTAATTTTAGTGGTTGTAGACTGCTTGGGAAAGCTGCACATTCCAATTGATTTATAACGCCCTTTCTCAACTGTAGATGTTGTGGAGTTTTCATAGATAATGTTGTGAAACATATGTTCCTTTGCACAATAATTGCTGACTAGACCGTATCTTTTTTTGTGGTA